GGGGTATATAGGTGACCTGCTTGGGACGCTAGTAGAATATTTTGTGAATTCCTTTGAATTATGCATCTCTGTTAAAATGTTTATATACATTTCCTTCATTTGGATTATGTTTAATTGTGGATTTGTGAAAAGTGAAATTGTTATTCATAAATGTTTTTGTTCGCAATGCTCCTCCTCATGTTGTTTGTTTTTAATCTACATTCTTTAGAAAATATTTATATCTTCCAACCATGATTATTTTTAAGACCATGATGATCACTTACTGAGTAGCCAAACTCACCAAACTATAGTAAATATTTTTCAGGGTAATTGCAGTCTCATAGTTATATGCACATCAGGACCAGCTTGTGAAGAAGATGTAGTCATGTCATAAGTAAATTCTCCTTTGTAACTTTTGTTTAACTTCACCACTGTAAGTTTTGGTTCTATCAACAGATGTACACCTAGACTTCATGTTAGTACCAGTTGGGAGCAAACTTTGAACAAATTTTAATTAATAGAAAAATTTGTTTTGTTACAATATATATTAATAGGAATTTGAATTTTTCCTAGTATAAGAATAGTCTGTCGAACGTCGGGAATGTTAGAAATCTTTGGGTGTGACAAGTCCATGGTTTTAGACCTGGACCCAACCCAATTCAAGTCCGGGTCTAGAACATAACAAAAATATTTGGAAAAGTGTTCAGAAAATGTATTTCAAATACACACACATACTTATATATTGGCTTGACAACGTTCTGATTCAAGTCTAGCGTTTTGGACCTGGGCTAGACCCATGGGGTCCAAAACTTGGACCCAGACACGGATAGGGTCAAGCCAACAACCGATTGGCACCCCTATATAGACGCAGCTAGAATGAAGATTAAGTTTTAGATTAAGAAGTAAAACAATCTCTTAAAAGGGTGAGGTTTATATAAGGTATGCACCTTATACTATATAAGTAAGATGTACATCTAAATTTTGTCAAAAGATGCAGTTCGGATGTCAGAAACATCACAATAGTTTGAAATTCCATATTTAACCCTAATTATAAAATTTAATATTTCAAATACAGTACAGATCCAACATGTATATAAACACTTGAAAATATTGGGATGGTCCTCATAACTTGTCATAAGATGCATTATTTTTTAGGGCTTGATGTTGCTTTTTTTTTAATTCATATATCTCGGGGTAGTGATCAATTGGAAGGATGGAAAACCTCGGAGGACTATTTTCTAATGGATTTTTCATGTGCACCTTTTATAGTATATGGTTGCAACCTTGCAAACTTTTACCCAACCATCTTAAAAATACAGGTTTAGCCTTTTAAAATATATTTTTGTGAATGATTATGGAAATTTGAGGCTCTCAATAGTGTAGATCTGGTAGATATGCCAACACTTGAAAATAGATGATAGATAATGTATTATGAAATACAATATTTCTAGAGTTTGAAATCTTTTTTTTGAATTGTGGAGGAAGATTATTTTAAACTTGAAAATTGACTGCGGTTAGGCTCTAAACAATCAAAGTAAAGCGTACCTTCAAATAACGTCAAGAAATGTGGTTTCAATACTGGAAATCTTTGCCATAGCCTTAAAATATATTTTCATGTTTAATTATAAAATTTAAAGCTTTGAAAATAGTGTAGATTAAGTAGATATATGAAAACTTGAAAATTTTGAAAATTGACGATCCAAAAATGCATTACAAGATGCCCTATTTCCAAAATTTGAAATCCACTCTTTCTCATGCCCATGCATCTTGATATCGAGGCGATCAATTTGAAGATATTTAGAAATCAAAACAACCTCTTCTAGTGAAATGGTGGGCTCTAATTTGATTGTTTAGATACTATATATAAACTTTTTGCTTTATATAATCCGTTACAATAAACACCATTTAATTATAGAAGTTGAGATGATTAATTTCAGTGTTTTCAAGAACCAAAGCTTTACTTGTGTAAGCTACCAATACCAAATAAAGTCTTTGACAGTTGGAAGTAGTGTCAGCCATTACTTCAAATCTGATTTATGTATTAGGGTCACCACAATTACACCATGACTAAGACTATCATTTATTAGAATTGGATGATGAATTGTGGAGATGAGCCTATGATATTTATATAGAAAGGTGTTGGAAATCGTGAGCGCAACGGGACAAAAAAAAAAAAGCATGAAAACAAAAGATGTTTCAATTTCTCAATTCACAATTACGATAAATTGCTTTATCGAGACAATATTTGTCCCTTATTATAGAGAAAGGGCCATATAGGAAAGTTATAAAAACAAGAATAATAAAGAGATATGTTAGATAACTGTTTTGGTGGTTAGAATCTTCTAAAATATTTAGCATGAAACAATGGTGAACAAGGTCATATATTTATAAGAAGTGTTTAAAACATTAGATTTGGAACTGATTTTGGATTCACAATCGGGACCTAGTTCTGATTGGGCGAAGTCTGAAAAATGGGGGGAATTGGACAATTTTTAACTTCCTCTTGCTGAGTTTTGTTTTGAACCAGAACAAACAATTTTTCAATACTGCTTGCAAGCCGAGCCGGAATGAGAATCTATCCGTCAATAAAGATGACAACAATTGGATTATCCTCTGCTAGTCAATAGAGCTATTTGAATTGTCTTTTACTTGGTGTGGGGGTAAAGATGAGAAGGAAAAAGAACCCTTCAAATCATTATTTCTTTACTAAAAAATATACAAAGAGACCATTTACTTTTCGTAAGAAGATGTCATAATTACTTTTATCCATCATATTTCAAATTTGATGGTTGTATGAGTATCATTGACTAGGATCAAAGTGATAGATTTTGACGTAATATAGATGATAAAGAGAGAAAGAGAGAGGAATAGAAGCTGTGGCCAGTTTTAATTAGCAAGAATGAAACTCTAAAAAAGTTTATATACATTACATATTTAGTTTAGACCAAACTATTCCTACACAGATATACAATGACAATAGTCGTGGGAGGCAAGGCACACAGGGGATAGGG